GCTCAGCGTCTTCTGCCACTTTGGCCATATCTGCACTATGCCAGGCTTGTGTCTGTGGTTTGTTGACGGTGAATAATAATGCACTTTAAAAATAGTGTGGCTTGGCTCAGGGCTGGGGGGTGACAGAGGTGCACAGGGGGGAGAGCAGGACGTGCCTCCGTGTGTGTGTGTTCAAGCGTAGCAGGGGCTGAGCTGCATCCAGCCCCGGCTCTCTACATCATGCATCCCACTCTGGGAGCGGGAATTGCCGTTGTCTGTGCCGGTGCCTCCCCTGGGTGCAGGCTGAGCTGTGGGACGGGAGAGGAGCCGCTGCCCCGGGGTGACAGAGGTGCACAGGGGGGAGAGCAGGACGTGCCTCCGTGTGTGTGTGTTCAAGCGTAGCAGGGGCTGAGCTGCATCCAGCCCCGGCTCTCTACATCATGCATCCCACTCTGGGAGCGGGAATTGCCGTTGTCTGTGCCGGTGCCTCCCCTGGGTGCAGGCTGAGCTGTGGGACGGGAGAGGAGCCGCTGCCCCTGCGCGTCCCGGCTGCCAAAGCGAAGGCTGGGGAGTGTCAAACGCCGTCATTCTGCCTTTATTTGAGTATGTTCACATCTCATTCAACAAAACAGCTTTTTTAAAAATAAAGTGCCCAGTGGAGCTAGGCCTTTGGGTAGATAAATGCATTTCTGTAACATCATCTTACCACAATACAGCGAGTGAACAGGAGCTTTCCCTGGACTGGAGGTAATCGGCAGGACCGGCACTTCGTACAGAGAAGTAGCAAACTACAGACCACGTACCACGACACGCGGAACGTAACACCCGACAGGAGCTTCCATTTGGTTTTTTATACAAACCGATAGAATAAAAAAATCAGAGTGTAGTAGAATATCCAGCAACAAAAATGGTAGAAAGGATCCGTACCTGATTGTATGAAAGCAGCATCTCAGCAAAGTGCAGTGGCGTCATGCGCGGCAGCGGCGGCCGTCGCCGGCACGGGAGGGTATTGCTCGGCGTGCCCCGGGCTGTCCCCGGGGCCGGGTATTGCGTGGCTTCCTTCGTGGCTCTGGCGAAGCGAGCAAAGCGGCAGGTCATCTACGCGCGGGCGGCACTAACGGGGCGGCCGGGCGCGCCCGGGGCGCTCCCCTGCGAAAGGGAGGGTGCGCTGCCCGGCCCGGGGCTCCCCGCCGGAGGCAGGGCAGGATTTGGCAGCTG